TGGTTTTCAAAACTAGCTAGGCATTGTTTATCTCTCACATTGTCTCACCCCTCCATCATGGTTTTCCCACTTAAGGTGCCCCCATTTCCCCCCTTTCTCCCTTACTAATACCCTTCTCCTATGGTCCTACCTCTCTTGAGAAGTATCTTGATGGGTAAAAATAACTCTTGCCATTAATTGAGATTTGGGGAAGTGCATAGTGAAATTTATGTCTCAAAAAAGTCCAAAGTATTTGAAAATACTTAACTAAAAATACTTCAAGAGATTATGGTTATGTAAAGAATGCCTAGAGATTGGTTTATTTCCCAATTTTACTAGAACTTTGTATCTATCTGTAGCCTAAGCAAATCCCCAGAGTCCAGCATAAATACTTTCTGAAAATCTATTGTTTGAAAAGTATCATCTTTAGTTTCTTTTTTAATTCTTCAAACACTACATTTTTCCTTTCCTATTGAATAGTACATGCCTGGCATAGGAAGGAAAATTTTCAAGTTTGGTTTTTATAACTGGCTCACACTCTTCATCAAAGGAAAGAAGGGTCTGATTTCACAATCTATTTATGTACTTTTAAAACTTTCTAAGAAAAATAAAGCTCTGCTATAATTAATGCTTAATGGTATAAACAGCCCTGCCTTCATGGTTGCCTAGTAACTACATACTGAAAGCTGATGGTGTTTCTAAAGATGCTGAACAAGTGGAGATACTGAGATCCACTTCCAATTCAGGTAATTGAGGGGCAGCTATGGACCAGATTGTTTTGTTAAAATTGTTTTTCCACAATGGCTTTGCACTAAAACATCTTTCTTGCAAATAACTTCTTCAGATAAGAGTCTAAATGAACAAGAAATAATAGAAAACATCAGTGAAGCTGGATGTTAGGTTCCCGACAGACCCCTAAAATGGTGGTCGAAACAGCCTTCAAGTCTCTCTGCTTATTGGGAGACCAACCAATCCTGAGCTAAACCACTCAGCCTAAATCATAAAAAGTTACCCAAGACCCTAACTGCCTATAAAGGCTGCCTGACTTCCACTGCTGGTTGCTCTCTCTGATCCTGGAAGGCAGTCAAGCGGTTCGATCCCCCCCCCCCCAATAAACTGTTGTCTCCCACCGAGCTGTCTCGGTCAGTGGTCTTTGCTGTGCACCTCCATACACTGAACCAGCTCTATTTGGTTGTTCTTCACTAGTTCCAGAATCTATTAGAGAAACTGTATCAGTTCCCTATGTTTTCACCATACCATTCACTCTTCAATAAAACCTGGTATTTGACCTCAGTGTGAGGCTCACACCTGTAATCCCAGCACTTGGAAGGCTGAGGCAGGAAGATCAGGATTCCTCAACCTACTACGACCAGCCAGGGCTACATAATAGGTTGGAAGCCAGCTTGAGAAACACAATCAGCCCCATCTCAAAAGACAAAAAGAAACAAAGCAAACAAAAACAATCTCCCCAAACCCTGGTACTTGGATACCACTTTGCAACTGATGATCCCTTAGCCACAGTTCCTGGTTAAAAGTGATATTAAAAGGTTTAGGGGTGATTATAATGATTATTTACACTTAACTCTGACTTGCTTTCTACGTCACAGATATAATTTCCTAACTGCATTTTGCTTTAACTTAGGAAAAATTAGTTTGCATTCCCTTGGCACACACCAACTACAGTTGGTGAGGAGGCCTTCCAAATCCATAGGCTGTTGACAAGAATGGCTAACTAGATTCAAATTAAATTTACTGAACAAAACCCACAAAGAGACTCCACCACATACAGATAATGACAAGTTGTCTATGAGGGAATGTAGTTAGATCATTTGAAAACCCATTTCTGGCAATGTCTTGGACAGGCTGCTGGGAGCTAATCTGTACTCTTTCTTACAGAATTGATGTTAAAATTTGGGGCTCCCTAAGTTGGGCGCCTCCATGCAGACAGGAATAAAGGTGGGTTTGGCTATTTAAACTGTATAACTATAGCTTTTGGGATAAAGTCAGAAATGATTTGTTACATAGTAATTTTGTCATTTGGCAATACTAGGATATATGGTTTGCTCTCTGGAATTAACATAAATGTTGTCATTTGACTAATATGAAGGATTCTCTTCTTCTCCCATGGAACTGGCTTTGAGTATATGCCTATATTTCTTTATTTTTTTTTCACATGGAAGGAAACCTCCCTTTGCATTGTGATGTGTAACTCTCTGGGTTCTTGGTTTTGTGGGTTGAAGGATGTGGCTGGTGAGGCCAAGGACAGGGTTTAATCAGAAAACCACTTGGCTTCGCAACCACTGTCTCTATGCCTAGCCTCAACAACTCATTCTTCTTGAAAGAGACCTTTGAAGAATACCCTAAAACTCAACACAAACACCTCTATTCCAGGGTTTGGAAAACTATGAGCATCGAATTCTTTTGTTAGTAAGATATAAGCACCATCATAATGTTCAAAGAAGGAAATATTCAAAATATTAGTTTTCTTTCTATTTGCAAGATATTCAATATCTCTCCTTCCATTGAAATGCTGAAGAAAACTGACAGATTAAGAATCTGGTTGATTTTTATTATAGGAATTTCCTCCTATTGTATTTCCAGTTTCCTACTTTTAACCTACGCTTTTAGATCTATTTGGCTTAACTGTAATAGAGACTGTCTTTGTGCAAAGACAGTTTCTCAGAGAGTTAATTTGCAACTGCAATAGCGGCTAATTCTCCTGAGAGAATTTGAAACAGCAAGTCCTCCAGTGCAGAGGAAGCCCCAGGCCGGCCACTGGTGCTGGAGTTAACCCCTCCAGCTCTGCCAAGCAGCAGGCAGGGTGCTTAGCCAGTCCACAGCAGTGGCAGTTTTAAGATGGAAGCCAAAGGCTTGGATTTTCCTTCCCATGACCTCAATTTTGGCAGTTACAAAACATGCTGTCCTATGGTTTTCTGTCTGTATATTTCCCATTTGCATATACATACATAAGCAAGAGGGGGTAAAACCATTTAGATTGATTCCTTTCTGACAGGATATGCTTTATTTAGGATGAATGCAGGCTATTTCCTCCCAATAATGAATTTTTAAAGTTGAGATAGATGAATACAATATGTAAGATAAGTACGTATGAAATAGGGTATTTCAAATACTTTCTTTTTAATTCCTAAGTGAAGTCTATTATTTTATCCTCCTCCTTGCCCCAGAAGTGAGTCAGATCATTTCTTCAGTAATTATTCAACATCAGTATTAAGAAAATTAAAAGCCTTGTGATGTGTGAAAATTAATTTTGAAAAAAGCAAGGAATATTCTTGCTGTTAACTTTATTTTTTAAATATTTCATTTATTATTTTTATTTTATGTATGAGTATGTTGCCTGCATGTTTGTAAGTACACTCATGTTGTGCAATGCCCGCAGAGGACAGAAGCCAGAGGAGGGTGTGGGAGCCCCTGGAACTGGAGTTACAGTAGTTGATAGCCGCGATGTGGGTGCTGGGACTCAAACCCAGGTCCTCTGCAAGAGCAGCCAGTGCTGTTAACCGCTGAGCCATTTCTCTGGTTCAGCTATTACTTTTAAATATTTACTATCAGTTCAATATCTTTTACTGTAAAATGATTTCTTTGATCTTATAGAGTCTAGATAGTCTTGTATTGAGCAATTTCAGAGAAAATATTTAATTTTAAAAAAGAAAGTGATGTAATGAACAAAGGTATAAACAAAAGGGCTAAGGAGATCAGCTATCAGAGCAGCCAGAGAAAATAAACAATTGAGTACCTCCCCCACAGGATAACCTGCAGGTGATTCCTAAGCCTCTAATACTTAACTTTGGGGAGCCAGGTGAAAGTTTCCTTGCCTTCTCTTCTGAGGGGGAATTTTTTAGATTTTATTGATCAAGTCCTTTCAGAAAATCTTTACAGAAAAGATTTTCTCTGATTTGTGTCATAGTTGGATCCAATTTGGAAAGTGGAGCAATTAAGTGTCAGAACCTTTCATTAGGACTAGGCTCTTTAAAACTGGCTTTGATCCAAAACCCCTGGACTGAACATTCCAGTCATCCATCTTCCAGAGTTTCCAGTGTGGGATTGGGGTGTGGGTTGATTCGACTTCTCAGAGGCACAGCTTGAATGCTTCCATTTGATTTTGTGCTTCCAACATGTTTTCGGGGATCTGAGATCTGGGAAGGTCTACACCATATGGTCTCGATAAGGTGATAGATTTTCAGATTCTGGGGATTGGCAGGAAAGGGTAGGAAATGAATTAGAGGCAGGAAAGGAAAATTATCGAGGCCTAACTCATTCATGAAAAACTTTTGAGCCATGCATTACCATAGGATCAATTTTAGCAAAAGGGTGTGTGTGTCCCCTCACCTGCATGGAAGGAAGTTGCAATCTCTCAAACGTAGAGGGCTTTCTTTAAAAACCAATGGCAGTGAGTGGCAGTCTCGGGTTTCCAGAACAGACCCCTGGCTTTGAGGGTAGGGGCAAAGCGAGGAGGGGGCAGTTTTTGTATTCCAATGGAGATACCGGTTGAGGTGGGCTAAGAACAAGATACACGGTCTTCAGCTGGGAGTTGATGGTTTTAGAGAGATCTAGAATCGATGTAATAAATACAAAGCCAGGTGCATATAAGCCAAGAGGGTCAAAGCTCCCTTGCGGCAGTCCATTTTTAAGAAAAGGCGCCGCATGTGATTCCTAACAAGCAAAGAGAGCCAGTGGAATGAGGGACTTTCCTGGACCTCAGAATTCACACCCAGGAACCTGGCCTGCAGTTCAGTTTGTGCCTGGCCGGCTGGGTGAAGGCTCTCCCGGCCCATCCGTCTGTCGCCTCCCTGCACTTTGCTTTTCCTCCCCAGTGTCTGTCCTGGCCCTGCGGTTGCCTGCCCATTTCTCCATCCTCCGGGAGCTGATGCAGTCGCCGGCTGGCGGGCCGCTCCGGCGCGCAGAGGGTTAAGCAGCGGGGGCGGCGCGGGGAGGCGGGAGCGCCGGGCGCCGAGGGTGCGAGGACCCGGCCAGCAGCGGGTTAAGCGCCTCCCGCGCCGAGAGGGCTGAGCCCCAGCCGCCGCTCCGAGCTCGCATTCGGATCCGCTAGAGCAAGAAGATGGCGACCGACGGCGCGAGCTGCGAGCCCGACTTGTCCCGCGCCCCGGACGACTCGGCAGGGTCCATGACGGAGGCGGCGGTAACCGAGTTCCCGGGGCGCGAGTGGGGCGCGGTGTAGACGCGGGCCGTGGGCAGCGCCCGGGTCCCGCTGGACAGTCCTTAAGTCCAGCCTCCCTGCGGGGTGACCCTTCCTCAGGTTGCCCCTTCTTCGGGGTGCTCGGTTTCCGGAGTGCCCCTTCCCTGGGGGAGCCTTCCTCCGGGTGCCCCTTCCTCTGGTTTCCCGTTCCTTGGGGTGCCTCCTTATCCGGAGGGGCGCGTCCCCAGGGTCCCCCTCCCTGCGGTGCCTCCTCTTCGAGGTGACCCTAACCTGGCAGTGCCCCTTCCCCAAAATGCCCCTTCCCCAGGTTGTCCCCAAGGCCGGGGCAGGTTCCCGTGGGGCGAGGCGTTCACCAAACCAGGGGACCCTCTGTCCTCCTGCAGCTCTCCGCATGCGTCCTTTGGGACCCCTTTGCCCACACCGAGGGATGCGGGGTACTAGGGCCAAGCGAGGGTTGAGCGCTTCCTGGTGGATCTCACCCCCCATTGTTCACCTCTCCCAGTGTGGTGCGATCAAATCTCTGGGGTACCTGGCACCTCTTGGGGCACTCGGGGAGACAGCTGGGGGCGGGGGGCGAGGAGGGCCGTCTCCAGTTAGGTGTGGGGGCTGCTCTTTGTGCTGCTGGTTAGGGTTGTGTGCTTGGGGGAGGTTGGGTGGGAGAGACTGGGTGCCCAGCTGTGGGCGCAGCTGCTGCTGCAGAGCGCCAGCACTTTGGGTCCTAGCTGCCTGCGGCTGGATCACTTAGTGCTGAGGTGGATCTTCCCCCATAGATGCCAGGTTGAGGTAGGGGTGCTGCACCAGGTGTCACCTCATTGTTCCGGTTCCCCAGAATGTGTGCGGGCGTGCGGGTAGCTGCTCCTGTTCTTCATACTGTATGCCCGCACGGTCGCCAGTGGATCCCAGTCTGCCCTGGTTGGGAAGGAGGGCTCGACTCACACTGCCAGGGTGGAAAACGATCACAGGGCTTGGAAAGGAATCTTCGCAGAAGCTGCAAAAAACTGCTTAGAAAGCCAGGTCTGGAAGTGCCTCCCACTCTTGGCCAAATCCTGCAGTTTTCCCAGAGGACAGAAATGGGATGGAGTGAGTTGGGCGTGGATATCCCTGCTGTGTCTCCCACTACCTGAGCGGTGTGCCTGCCAGGGCAGCAGAGGGCAGGGCCAAGCATAAACAGCCTGGGCTGCTGAACTTCCTCCCACGTCTCTGGTAGAGTGGGAGAGAAGTGGAGAATGGTACAGTACCCGGGCGCAAGAGCTGCTGATCTCTGAAAAGAAAGGGGACAGGACAACTACTAATTCCCACTGGTGAAACGTAAATGCTGAGCTAAAACTTTTGGGAAAAAATGAGTTTTCCATTCTTTGCAGGAGACATGAAAACTTTTAAGAGCTTTCAAGTGAAACCTTTGCACTTGGGAATAATTTTCCTTCTCTGAGATACAAAGTGGAAAACAGTAAGCCCCACTGGAAAACTGAAATTCTCCCAGAGATGGTGAGGGGAAAGGAGGGGAAAACTTGCTTCTGTTTCCCCAGGAAGGTGTAATTTGTTTGTATAATCTACTTAGAACACACTACTTTATGTCACTCCCAAAATTTTAATTAACTGACAAACCAGCCACAAACATGTGACTTATGATATGTACCTGATACACAGTTCTGTTTGGGCTGACTATAAACAAGAGTTTGTTGTCAGGAATATGTTTGTGCTAACAAGGTCAGTCTTTCTGTCTACTATTAAAAAGTTTCAAGAGTCTGACTTGCTGATAAGGTGGGACTTGATTATTTTCCTCTGTGAAAA